AGCCGCCCCGCCCCCGACGCGCGCGCCCGCTCCGCCGACCGCGGGACCCGCGTGGGCCAAGGAGCTGCCGGCGGGGGCAAAGGGGAGGCAGGGGGCGGGCAAAGCGGACGGTTGGGCGCCGCGGAGCCTCCTGGGAGGTGTAGTTTCCTGGCCGTGGGGGCGGGGCCCGGCTGGAGCGCGGGTTACGTGACGCGTTCGGGAGCGACACCTGCTGGGAGTTGTAGTTTGCCTGCTGCGCTCTTAGGAAGTTCAGCTGTTGGACGGTGAAAGCTCGGTGGACTGATAGAGCCGTTGACTCAGGGCAAGTGTTTTTTTTTCTTCTTTCATGTCATAGCCTCTAAAGACGTTGGTGATTCAGCAAAGTCTTGAATTATAACGACTCATTTGGCCACTAGCTTCCGTGTTCACATACGTTATTCCATGGCTCCAACAGCCTCAGGTGACCACTAGATCATGAATTCATTTCTCTATTTCACGTTTTAGGAAACTGAACCTTAAAAGTGCCCGAGGTATTCAGCTATTAAGTAACAGGAACTAAGGCCCAGTTATTTTTGTGTAACTTTCTTTTCGTGTATTGCAACTACATAAAACCATCGCAACTATACAAAAAGCATATATAGAAGAAACTATGGCCTCATTGATTTAGAACTGGATATTAGAGGACCAAGTAATTTCACTTGAGCAATGATTTTGAAGTTAGCTTTATTTCTAAGTCATTATGTTTCCCCCGATCGCACAGCAAAGTTATTTGCAAATGGCAGCAATTGATGTTTTGGGGCTACCTAACCAAACACAAACGTACAGATATTGTGCAGAATGCCTGGTAAAGGCAGGTAAGCAGAGCAAGAGCAAAAATAATGTAAACATCTTAAGCACTTAATACTCAAGTCTAGTATTTGATTTTACCCTACCAGCAGGCTGATAACTTTTGTCTGTTACTATTTCATGGATGCTGGTAAAAGACAAGATTCCTGGATCACAGACAAAGGACTATGATGACCCTAGAAGCAACATGAGCTTCAGCATGTTTGTGTCAATTCCTCTTGTCACCCCAAGTCTCACGGGGATGACATAAGGGCTTAGATGAATGCCTTGTGCTTGGTGGATTTACACCAAGGCAGAGGAACACTGAGCTGAGGGAACCTGCCATTTTATAGGAAGCAGGAAACAAACCTGTTCTTTTCCTAGAGGGAGACATTATTTCGTCCCTCAGAGTAGTTCACTATAAACATAACCCTGAGAAATGGCCCCGGTTAAGAGCAGTCAGGGCCTTGCATTCTTGGTAAACCCAGGAAAGTGGATAGAAAGCATGTCAACAGTGCTATGTGCCAAACATTATTCTAAGCACTTTACATCTATAATCTCATTTAACCCTCACAACCCAATAATGCACCTATTTTATAGATGAATAGACAGGCATAGAGAGATCACACAGCTAATAAGCAATGAATCTAGTAGAAGCAACAGAGATACATAGTTAAAAGACAGTAAAGGTTTACTTGCAGAGGTCTGATGGCTTATAAAAGCAACGACCAAGTCCTTGAAAGAATTCGTATAAGAGTTTCTAAGGAATTGCTCTGGGGGAGAAAAACAATAATTAAGACATCTCCCAAAATGTGGACTCGCAATTATTCTATAACAACATAAAAATTAATGTGACCTTATTTTTTATGACCAAGCTAATAAAGAAGGGCCTCAATTAGTTACATAAATATGGAAATTAGTAAAAGTCGGAATAAGGATTTTGCTCCAAAATAATGACATTTGGATTGAACATGAATCATTTGGTTTGAACCGAGCACTGGATGGGAAGGAACTTATCCGCTAAAGCAAGGCATCCAAGAAAAGAAAAGGGATCTTCCACGGAAAGAGCTAATTGTTAAAAATTCGTTTATGCCAGAAAAATTTACTGGATGCGTACTCTGTTCTCGGCACTGTAATGGTGGCTAAGGACACAAAGATAAATGAGATATCTACAAACTCCATGAAGGGCAATATGACAGAATCGAGTTATAAATGCGCACACTCTGTGATCTGGCAGCTCCACTTCTGGGAGTTCATTCTACTGTCATGCTTGCACATGTGTGAAATGACATTTTTGTGAAGTTAGGCATTGCAGTGTTGTTCGTATTTGCAAAAGATTGGAAATAACCAATCTTTAACCTAATCAATAATCAATAACCTAACGTTCGTTGATTAAATTATGCTACGCCCGCAATGGAAAACGGAATGAGCGTAAAGAAGGAATAAGGAAGCTCTTTATGTACTGAAATGGGATGATCGCAGAGATACCATACGTAAGTGAAAACAAGACACAGCACGGTCTATAGAATATGATATTATTTTGTGTAAAAAGGAAAGCATAGATATATTTATATCTGTGGAGGCAGATACTGATAACTTTGCCTCTGGAGAGGGGGACTGGACAGCAGAGTTGAGGATGGGGTAGCAGGAGAGAGACTTTTCACTATATTCCTTTTGATAATTTCTGAATTTTCAGACAGACGAATGTGTTGCCTATTCAAAAACTAAGATATTTAGAAAGGATCGGATTGGAAGAAAAAGTGATTAGAGCATCAAAATAAGAAAATTGAGACACCATTACCGCTCTCAAGAACTCACCATCTAGCAAGAGAGCCAGCAAAAGAAAAATGGTTACAGTGAGGGCCTCAGCACTCCTGAGTAATGGGGGCTGTGACAGGGGCCTGCACGAGCTGCTTAGAGGAACGGGGAGGGGGGGCCTTCCAGATGGAGGAGCTAAGCTGAGTGATCGCGGGTGGGAAGAGTCCGCAAGGCAGAGGACAGCGGTGAAAGGAAACTTCCCACGAGGCGAACTGTATTCACACAGATTCGCAAGAACGTGATGCAGTAGGAAAACCGCAAGCAGTTCAGTAGGACTGGAGTTGAGGGGATGGGAGGAAGTGGGCCAGGGAGGAGACAGGGGAGGTGGGCGGGAGTCAGATCTGGAAGGCCTTCAGATATTGAATATCACGCCCAGGAGTTTGAATTTCATCCCTACGTACTTAGGGGCCTCCGAACGCTTTGAAGCAGAGCAGCGGTGTTACCAAACCTGGGCTTCAGGAAGTTCATGCTGCAGGAAGTACAGAGAACGAAATGAGATAGGACGATCAGTTAAGGAGCAGTTGCGGTCACTCAGGCAAGAAATGACAAAATTCAGACCAGGGCAGTGGTGACGGTCAGAGGATTCCCCGAAGAGAACGGGCTTGCTGACCACCTGGCTCTCGGGTGCGAGGAATGACTCAACGTTCCTGACTCGGTGTTGCAATTCCCCAAGGCCAGGCATGAGCAGGAAGAGGAAGAGGTTTGCAGGCAAGACAATGAGTTCACTTTGGAGTACGTGGCATTGGAGGGGCCTGCGGGAGATCCAAGAGGAATAGATCAGCAGATGGTTGGACACATGAGTCTGGCGTCGGCGAAAGGGGTCTGGGCCAGAGCACAGATGTGGGAGTCCTGGGCCCTGGGTGGTAGGTGGTGGTAGATGAGAGCCTCGAGGCAGGGTGCATAGTGAAAGGAGAGAGAGCCAGGGCCAGAACCCAGAGGATGCCCCGCCTCACCACCGCCCCCCACCATTATTTAGACTTTAAGAGGAAGGGGGTCAGATGAAGGACTGAGCGGAGTCAGAGAGCCGGGAGACCCAGCGGAGGGGGGTGTTGACAGCGATGAAGCTGCTCTTGGAAACGGGACCTGAACTGTTTGCAGAGCACTTCCCGCCCAAGAGCTGTTCAGTCCTGATGGTGATCATTCACAAGAGACTAGACCTGGACGGCCGGCAGGCCCCAATCACATGGCTAGTTAATACCAGAGCTGAACCTTGAACCCAAATTTTCCGACACCAAGTCCAGACTCCACTATACAGCTTCCTTTTCGTTAAAGAAAGAAAAGTTCCTCCCACCTTTTGAGATGTGAGAAGTCAGCAGGTTTCCAGCACTTTTCGTGTGGGAATTACTTAGGTGAGACTCCCCCTCCACACCTTGGCTCGTACGTCCTGCAGTCCTAGGTGGCCTGCTGCTTCTCGGTCCCTCTTGGCAGATCTGAAATCTCATCCTTCAAGCTCCAGCTTAAGTCTCCTCATGAAGCCTCCCCTGAGGGTTTCAGTTCACTCTGACATATCCCTTTTCTTAATTCCTTTGGCAGATACACTTTGCAGTGACGCCTCCTCCCCCGGGTGAGTCACAAGTGTGTAATCCCCTCTCCTTGAGTGTGGGCAAGGCCTGCGACTTGCTTCTAGGCCATAGAATATGGCAAAGGTGATGCTGTGTCAGTCCTGTGATTACAGCTACATCATATAACACTCCTCCTTAGCAGACTGGGGGAGAGAGTCTTCTGCTGGCCTCGAGGAAGAAAGCTGCCATGTTGTGTAGACTGCCTGTGGAGAAGGCCCGAGACAGGGAACTGCGGGCGCCTCTGGGAACTGAGAGTTGCCTCCAGCTTACAGCAAGAAAACGGGCTCCTCAGGTCTACATTTGCAAGAAACTCTGCCAACAATCACATGAGTTTGGAGGGAGACCCTGGGCTCTCTAAGGAACACAGCCAGCCAGCACCTGATTGTAGGCTCGCGAGACTCTGCAGAGGACCCGGCTAACCGGAGCCCAGACTCCTGACTCACAGACACTGTGACATAATCATCGTGTGTGGTTTCAAGCTTCCAAATCTGCAGTCATTTGTTACACGGCAATAGCTAACCGATGTAATTCTTACTGCATTGTCTCGTCGGCGTCACTCAGTTTAGACCATGACAATTTCATAGCAATTTCGCTTTACGTTTCCAATCTGAACATAAGCTGCTTGAAAACAAGGACCTTGTCACATGTGACTTGTGCCCTCAGAGCGTACGAGAGGCACAAGGGAAGGAGCTCGGCAAGTGTTGCTAGGAAGTTCGTCCACGAGAGGACCATAAAGTGGCTGATAGCACCTGCTGCACAGGGACGTGGTGGGGATCGAATGAGTAATATGTGGGAAATGTCTAACATAACGCCTAGCACATAGCTTTTATTAATAATACTTATTAAATAAATATCACACCCAGCCCCATTTCCTCACTTTGCTGATAAGGCAATGGCTCCCTCCACTCCACCCTCCAAAAAGAGAAACAGACCCCGCAAGGTACAATGACTAGTCAAAGGTCATTCGTAAGATCAGTGGCCAGAACTCAACCCTAAGTAGAAAAAGTAAATGGCTTACGTGAGCTAAGCAGGCACGCCACGCCCTGTGGATTCAGGGGGTGAGGAAAACAAACGAACACAAAGGACCCTTTTTTAGGCTCTTGCCCTAATTCTCGCTCTTCTTTCCTCTTCGCTGCCTTCCTGCAGCGCCCTCATGAAGAGCACGTGAAAAAGTACCCTTCTGGTAAAGTGAGTCATTTGCAGAAGTGGATAGTACCAAGAGACTAGAGGATTTATTAGTCAAGATCCTTTAGTTGCAAGTGACAGAAACTCAATGCAAAGTAGCTTAAGCAAAAAAGAGAATTAATCGGTTCACATAGCTGAGGGCGACGCTGGGTATTCCAGTTAACTGTAGCTACATAACAAACTACCCCAAAACGCAGAGACATAAAACCATCACTTCACTGTGCTTAAGCACTCTGTGGGTCAGGAATTCGGATAGGAGACGGCTCCATGATGCCTCGGGCCTCAGCTGGGAAGACTCACAGGCTAAGGTGACTTGATGGCTGGGGTCATCTGGAATCATCTTGTTTCTCTGAGGTTGGCCATCCGCTGGGACCTCGGCTGGAGCTGTTGGCCTGACCCCTGCACGCGGCCTCTCCACGTGTCCACTTAGCCTCTTCAAGCATGGGGCCTGGGTTCCAGAAGCAAGTGCCCTGGCAGAATGAAGCAATAGCGCATGGCGTTTTCATGGCTCGGCCTCCGAAGTCACGTGGCACCACTCCCACCATACCGTTTTGTCCACGTGATCACAAAAGTCTGCCCGGGGGCGAGGGGAAGAGGGGACCCAGACATCGCCACTCGATGGGAGGAGGGTCCGTGTTGCATTAGAGTGTGTGGGGCGGGCCACCTCTGGCGGTGGCCGTCTCCGGAAAATAAACCGTGTCCCACTGGGATGGCTCACAGATTAAAAGCGAGTACTGTAGGAACTGAGACCTTAGGGTCTGGCGCAGAGCGCTCCGAGCCGCTGTGCTCATTTTCATCTGTCTTTCGTTTTCGCTCATCTCTGCCTCTCGTGGTCTATTCATTAGCAAAAACAAAAACAAAACAAAACAGACGACAACAACAAGACCACCTATCTTCTCAGGATCTGTATGTAATTTCCCAGGGAAGGACTTTGATTGAGTCAGCGGCCCACCACCCAGACCGACGGAAGTGGCCTGGAGAATGACCTGTGTCCCAATCCGGATCACGTGCCTAAAAGAAAGCTTGCTGGGCAGACTATGAAAAATAGCTAGCATCACGTACCCCGGGCTGAACCTAAGCGAGCACTTAGACGTGTTGGGCTGTTGTGCTTACCGTGGGTTCTCGATCAGCATTCTGCAGTCACAGGATTTCGAAGCCCGTTATCTGGTCGCCTGCACGCCGTATCAAGCCCTTCCCCTCCACTTTGCCACACCTCACCTCCCCCGAGAGGGGCTGGGTTTCCCCGTCGGGGAGAGAAGCTCCCCAGCTCTTAGAGCTCCCCCGGCTGGCTTTTCCCCGCCATCCCTCTCCCCACACCCGACCGTCATATTCCTATTCCCAAATCTCCCTTTTCACGATCCTTTCTTTCCGTTGCCACTCCCGAGGCTACCGTCCCTCTGTTTGCTGTGTCTCCTCCTTTTTCTCCTCCCTCCCCCCTTTTATTTTTCCCCTCAGAATCAAACTTAATTTTCTTTTCTCCTACAAATTACCTCCCAGAGCCAACAGTTCAGAAATAATGCGGTAGATTGGGAGACCTCATAACAGAAGGACCTTTTCTGTTCTTTTGCCAATGACCCATTTAGGGGATCGGCGGGCGATACACGTGTGGCCCATGAGACATGAGGAAAAGCTGATGCAAGGACCCCTGAAAAACTGAGTTTGATTTCGAGGGATGAAAGGGGTTTTGAGTCATTAGCATCATCCAGTGGAAAAGAGTGTGAGACTTGAGGCCTCTGCACTGGTGCCTGGTGAGCTTTAATCCTCAACGTGTCATTGAGTATGCTTTTGGCTGCAAGTACAGAAAATTCAAAAGTGGTTTAAGCAGTAAGGAAATTTATGATCTCACAGAAACAGCAAGGCGAAAGGTGGGTGTTCCAGAGTTGCTAAATTCAGCGGCTCGTTCATATCCTAAAGGATCCAGACTCCTTCCATCTTTTTCCTCTGCCATCTTCGGTGTATTGTCCGGATCATTTGGCTAATTCCTTTCATGGTGGCAAGGTGGCCGCTGAGCTCCAGGCATCACCCACACATGTGGCCACCACACTGAGAAGCAGAAAAACACAAAGTTTCTTCTTGTGTCTATTTGCAAAAGCAACGAAATCCTTTCTAGAAACCTTGCATCGGCTTCCACTCATGTCTCCTCATGGGCCACGCGCATATCGCCTGCTAATCCCCTAAACTCATCATTGGCAAAGGAACCGAAATGACTAAGATCGATTCAAACTAATTGAGACTTACTCCTGGAGCTAAAAGTAGCCATTTCCCCGTGTGCATGGCTTGCCAGTGAATCAGGAACAAAAGGGGGCTCTGCCAAAGGAAAGAGGGATGGGAGGGAGAGAGAACGGGGTGGGGATAAATTTGGATTAAGCACCTAGTGGGTCCGATGCACTTACTTCTCTTCAACTTCATTTCTCCAACTCTAAACTAGAGGTGGCGATACCTGCTTCATCTATGCGTGGAGATACTTCCAGACAAGATTTTGCAGGAGACACCTATGAAAATAGCTTAATTCAATTACAGTGAAGGACATGCTTCGACACGAACGAACCTTGGAAGAGACATTATTCTGAGTGGCATCAGCCAGTGGCAGAAGGACGGATATTGCGCGATTCCTCTTCCGTGAGGTCTCTAGAAGAGTCAAATTCAGACGGAAAGCAGGATAGTGGGTATCGGGTTGGGGGGCAGAGGGACTGGGGCTCGTGCTGGCAAAGACGCAAAAGCTCTGGCGATGGATGGCGGGGATGGCCATGCAGCAACGCGAACGTTCTTACTGCCACAGACTCGTACACCTAAAAATGATTAAAATGGTCAGTTTTATGCCTATTTCATCACGACAAAAGTTTTTTTTGTTTGTTTTTTGTTTGTTTTTTTAAATAAGCGAGGCTCTTTAAGTTCGCGAGCAAAGGAATTGTGCTAAACCTGAGAAATGTGTTTCAACTCGTGGTTTTCTCTCACAACCGTGAAGTCGAACGGGCGCCCACGCTAACCTGGGGGCGGTAACCGTTTTCCCTCCAGCCTCAGCTCTCGCTTCTTTCCCAGCCACGTGCCATCGCTCCTCAGACCCACGACTGTTCTGACTGAGAGCAGAGTGAGATAGTCCAACCCCCCAGAGTCCCCGCAGGGGAACCCCTGCACAGAGCGGAATCAGCTGCAGCCTCCCCCTGGAAGGTTGCCTGCACCTGTCTTCCTTCGTCTCCTAGACCTCTTTCAATACGGCTGGCTGTCCCCACATCCGTGCCAGCGCCCTGGGGACAAGGCGGCAGAGAGCAGACTCTGAGAGACGCAGGAGCATGCGCACCAGCGGGCGTTGGCAGCTCTCGCAAAGTCTATTTGCTGACAACACATATGTACTAATATTTACTGAATCCCTCGGATGTTTGCAAACGAGACGAAGCTGTGAAAAGCTAGGTATCTAGAGCACCGGCAGCTAGGTATCTGACCCCAGCTCCCCTGGATGGAGGCCCAGGTCATTCCACCTGAAGGTCCCGAAGCCTCCCCACCCCACGTCGGGTGCCAGGACCCGAGTTCTGCCACATACACTTGAAATCAGAGGTCTCTATATTTAACCTACTCACTCCAAACAGTTTTCTTCCAAAAAAGAAAATAGAACAGATTGTGAAGATCTTTCACACGGAGCACCCACCACTCACTTCCATTCACATGCCAGGGCTTAATCACACCAACAGGAACCTCCTCCTTACGAGCCATCTTCCGTAGTTAGAACAGATTCTCCGTGGAGAATGCTACAGTGCGCGACCCAGGATGTTAGCAGATCAGTTACCTGCATTTAGCACCTGAGACCAGGACAGAGCTCCCCGCCCTCCTCCGCCAGGAACGATGTTCAGCGATGCTGGCCAGTGACCTTGCAAACACCCTGCTGGTTACAGAAGAGGGACTCCGTTATCTGGGCCTGGGCTGGGGACACAGCGACAAATCCTCAGGCCCTGCTCTTTAGGAATTCTCAGGTCTGGCGGGGGGAGAGGCAGACATGAAGACAATTACTCTACATTGTGATAACTTTCGTACCAGCACTGATGCGAGATGACTAACTGCCTGGGGAGTCTCTGAGGGGTCGGGGAAGACGTCGCCAAACAGGGTCATTCGAGTGGGTTTTGGTTTTGCAGGGTGAGTAAAAGCTCGTTAGAAGGAAAAGGGTGGGGAAAAGCTTCCAGGCCGAGGGAACAGCATATGCAAAGGCAGAAGCGTGAGGGAAGACGTGCCTGTTTCGGGGACCGCCGCAGTGCGACAGAGGTCCGGAAATGAGGCTGGACGAGTAAGGCAGCTCGGATCCCACAGCCCTGGGGGCTTGGGGGGGAGGGAGGGCAAAAACCGACTGAAGCTCCAGCTCTACTGCAGGCGGATGAGCAACGTCCTTTCTCCATCAAGGTCATGTCCTCGAGTCTTTCTCCTGCGGCTGGTCCAGGTCTTCTGCAAGATCGTAATCTATGGGAACTGTCTTCTCCAGGAACCAAGGTTTTTCATCCCTGAAAAGGCCCTCGGACAGGTCACCTGGAACCTTTGGGCCATTGCATGAGCGCAACTCTGAAGATCGCAACCCTGACATCCAATAGAGGAGGGACAGGGGCTCAGAGAGGTGAAGGGCCCACCTGCCTCATCATGACAGAACGAGTCAGGCCAGCCCCCAGCCCTCCTCATCAACCGCAGTGAGCTTGTTGGCT